AAAAAAAAAAAAGAAGTAAAATGCGCCAGTGGTTCTGCAGTAAAAAAACATTCAACAAAAAACAACGGAATCTCAACAAAAAGTGGGCTATAGTGGTAAGGATACACCCGACCATCTCTCAAATCTACAAAAAGAATACACAGAACATACAGTTCAACGATAAAAATTTCGAACATCCTTATACTAGAATTAAAATATATGAACTCCAAACTGAACTCCTGCAAAAAGGGCTTCTAATGGCACCACATACACCTGTAGATCATACCAGAGAGGTAAAAAAATAGATAAACGACTCGGACAAAAACTAAAGAAGAAAACAAAAGACATCGCATCATAAAAGAAACTTTACCGTTTAAATTCCTCCCTTCTGCTTAAGAGTGATTTTGTCACCTAAGCTGAGAGCAATTCCCTGAGTTTTGCTCCTTATCCTAATATATCCATTCAGTGTTCCATCACCCTGTTTCTCCACACTTATATTTACCAAAGCGTCCTCCCCAAATACACTCTTTGCATACAAGTTTGCAGCCAAGAATCCACATTCACCTTCTAAAGCAGATCTGGGGACAAAAATCGTGCATGCAACACACAATAAAAATGTGGCAAGTTAAAAAATAGTAAAATACAATTGCTGAAAGAAATTTAGTAATGCGAGAAAAGTATTTTTTTTTTTTTCACCAGATAAATCGTGATTGGCAAAATACCTAGTCAGCTTTAAGCAGTTTAAAAAAGTGCACATCAGTTAACAAAAGATAATCGAGTATTTTTTGGGGGCCAAAATTATGATGGCAATGCATCTCATATTAGCATTTTAACTCATTTACAACTTTACTCAGTGTGATCGATGAGAAGAGCTGAAAAACATACAGAACAGTCTGATAAACACCTTGATATTGCAAAACAGAAGCTCTTTTGCTTGGTATGTTCGCAATAATAAACCAAATTCAAACACAACATTCAATGAGATGTAGAGTTTGAGCGCGCCTCATGAAGAATAATAAGATGTAAGTACATTTAGCTACACGACTCCAATTCATGATCAGCTGGGACATAGCCCATTGAAGATCAACTCATTTAATAATCAACGAACACAACAATCAATATTGAAGCTCACACAGTTGCACGTTTCCCCTACTCGATCCATTTAAACTCTTTAAGTACTAGTTGTAACCTTTTGGTCTCTGATATTGTATGCAGTCTATAGGCCCAAAAGATAAGGCATAAAATCATTCAATCACGAGAAGCATAGAAAAGAACTACAACTATTTCACTAGATCGCCATTTAGAAAGATGAGCAAAAAACCATCATAAACACGAAGGTAAGAGATCATGAATGACTTACAATGCAGTCAGGCATTTCATATTGGTTGATTTGATAATATGATCGAGAAATTCTTTTTCATTTGTAATTGTGGTATTTACAGCAACCTGCCAAAAGAGAAGCAAATTGGAGAACAAGAGAAGCATATCAGAGGACATATCAACCATACAAAAGAAAATAGAATACATATCAAGTATATAAAAGAGGTAATGACATTTGTCATCACCCCCACCCCCAAAGAAGAAAGAAACAAGATTTACCAAGACCCATTAGCTTAAATGCTGATGATGTCCTTCACAAGAGTGATTGAAAGAGAAAAAAGAAAGGAAGACAACTAAAAAGAAAAATACATAATAGTACAACAATGATAAAGAAGCACAATACCCAATTCCTCATAAGCATAAGTATGTATAAACCTAAGCATCCAACTGTGGAGAAGAAG